GGGGACGGGGTCCGGAAGGGGACAGGCCAGGGCCCTGTGGTCAGTGACCCATTTCTCCCCCCAGCCCCACCAAGCCGCCTTCCTCCTGGGGAACTACTGTCCCCATCACACTCGTCAGGGTGGGACTGAGCCCTGCAGGGTTTTCAGGGGCTGGCTGTTCAGCAGTGGAGTACCAGGCCTTCCTTCCACGGTGCCTCAAGTGGCACTCAAGCCACCAACCTTTTAGTTAGTGGCCGAGCATGTTAACCCATGTGCACCGTACAGGGAGCCCCCTTGTGGTGAAACACCTGGAGGACATCAGCCTCCTCAGGTGGGCTGGGACGAGGTGATAGGGTGGCATGTCCAGCACAAGGACCGTGTACAGGGGTGCCCAGTGGGCGTCACATCTTACCAGGGATTGGGCTCTGTGGACCACAGACCCAAGAGTGTTAACTGGCCATGACGGTCCCTCAGGCTGCCCAGTGTGTCCTGTCCTGGGCAGCTTGGGGTCAGTCCTAAAACATGGCAGGTCCTAAAGTCCTAGACTAAGAAGGAGACCTCACCGGTGAGGCCACAAACATGACATCTACCAGGATGTCTTGTAGATGTGGTCTCACGCTGGGGGTGGTGATGGGGTGGGCACTGGGGCTCCCCTGGGATTCAGAACCTGCCCTCCAGAACATGCTACACACACACTACACACACACACACCATTCACCCACCCTCCTCGGCAGACGTGTGGGAGACAGGAGGGGTGCTGGGGGAGGCTATAGGGACACCCCGAAGGGGTGGCCCCTCCTCAGGAGAGGACACCACACCACACACATACACATACCACACACCCATAAGCACATGATATACACACACACATACTATACACTGCACACACCCATCATTTACCCACGCACACCACACACACATAAACACATGATATACACATACTATACAGTGCACACAGCCATCATTCACCCACACACACCACACCCATAAACACACAATACACACACATGCATGCTATACACTGCACACACCCACCATTCACCTGCACACACCACATACATATAAACACACTACATATATTTAACTACATACATACACTACATACATATAAATACACTACACACACACCCCATTTATTTACACAGGTACACCACACATATACCATATATTACACACACACTACCTACACACAGCACACACACGTAACACGATATACATACATACACATACACTATACACTACATACACATGTACCATTCACATACACACACACCACACAAACACACCATACACTACACACACACGCCATTCACCTACAGGCACACCACACACATATGAACACATGATACACACACACTACCTATACACAGCACATGCACATACACACACGATACACATACATACACATACACTATACACTATTCACACTCACCATTAGCCTGCACAGACACACCACAAACTGACACCATTGACCTGCACAGACACACCACACACACCCCATACATTACACACAGACACTACCTGCACATACCACACACACACTGTGCACTACACACACACACCGTTCATCTGCACAGTCACACCGTACACCGCACACACACACACCATTGACCTGCAGACACACCACCCACACGTATAAGCACATGATAAACACACACACACTACACTACACACATCCTCACCATTCACCTACACAGACACCACATAGACACACACACAAACACACCATTCACTTCACACACACACCATTCACCGACAGTGGGGAG